GATTGGACCCATTTCTCTCCTGCATCCCCCACTCCATGGCTCACTGGATGTTGGTGAAACAAATCTAGTCTAAAATAATGAGCAATCAGCTACCCTGATGCTCGGGGCAGGCTGGGCAGGGCTGAGGGAAGGGGTAGAGAGCTGAATCATTTATAAAGCTTAATAAAGATGCAGATGAGCGGTGCTGAGTAGGAACCCCAGAGCTGGGCTTATTCATTATTCAAAGTTATGCAAATGCCACTGGGCATGCATGATAGAATCCTGCCCCTCGTCCCTCCCCCACCCCTCCCCCACCCCATCCCAACTGACAGATCCAACCCTCCTTGTGTAGCCCCTCCTACACCTAGCAACCCATTTCCAATCATGCAGGGTAATAGGGATCCTAGCCAGCAGTCTTCCAAAGGGATCATCACAGACCCAGCCTTCTGTGAGCCTCTCCAGACTCAAGGAGAAGGACTTCTTCATGTCTATGATACCCACACAAAGTGCTCTAACAGTGCTCATGTCCATGTCGTAATAGCTTGCGTTTCTGCCTAAGGGCATAGATTCCCTGGAGTCTAATCTAAATCCTTCTTGCTGCATAGAATGCCTGACTCAGACATACCCTTATCCTCTTTAACTGCTCTCCCCAAGAAGTGAGATGCAGGTCTGCCTACAGTCATTTTCTAGCCTGTATCTCCAAGGCCAGCTTTTCTGTTTGCCTTGTCTTGGCCCCTTCCAGGTTGGATTCACGTCCCTTAAGCTCTCAAGCCTGTTCAAGAATAACAAACTTTGCCGAGAGTTGAACCAGGCCTGACCTTCAGATCACTGAGCTCCTAGTGCCTGGCCTCCCCTCTGCACCAGTCTCTCGCACCAAGACCTCATTTGTCAACTTGGTGAGGCTGAGGGATGAAGAATTGGGTCAGAGTGGGGCGCAGCCTCGATCGCCTCAGCTCCCCTCCGTTCCTGGCCTGGTGCTCTTCCCTCTGCAGCCCCAGTCTATTTTTAGCCTGCCTCTGTTTTCCGTAGTCTGGTTGGCAACCACTCTGGCCTCTTTCTCTTCATTGCCCTTATCTCTCCCCTGCAGCCTGCGCAGACCCCAGCTGCCCCTCCTGAGGACTCCCAGTTGCTTTGCATTTTCTTCCATCTTGAAGATATGTAGGGGCTGCCCATGAGGGGATGCCTGGCTATGCTCAGACCAAAGGGAGGCAATGAGATAATGCTGTGTTATGCAAATCCTTCACTATTACAGAGGCCTTCGCGCGCTGTCCTCTAACCCCTTCTGCAGTAACTTTTGCTTCTCTGTGCTCCCAGTCCTCTCCCAAGTCACCTCCCCTGTGACCCCATCCAGCTGTAACTAAGGAAAGCTCCTTTTTTCTCATCCCTGCACACTGGGCCCTGGCCTCTGGCTTTGTGTGTACCATGCTCCTGCAGGCCCTGCTTTCCTCTTCGGTCTGCAGGTTGCCACTCTCCTTACCTGAGCCCTGTTTCAGCCCATTCTTTGCTGCCTGGCCCCATACACCCCTTGGCCCCACAGCTACCGCTCTGAAGCTCTCATTGTAGCTTCTCTGCGGACTCTTGTAAAGGCCTAACACTGCTCAGGCCGGGTTTGGTAGCCTCCCCCACTTGTCCTTTCTCAGCTTCTGCAAGACGTTGGTCTCCCCTTTTGGCTATCACTGACAAGCTGAATAAAGCTGGATATTTTGGAAGGGGAACTGCAGCTGGCTGGGGGAGGAGGACAGAGCATCAGAGAGACAGAGGAAACAGAAGGCAGGCGGTGGGCCACTGAGCAGAGGGATGCTCCTTAGACAGCACTCGCCAGCTTTGTCAGCATGAGAGTGGCTGAGCTCCTAGGCAGGATGCTGGCTGGCCCTTCTCAGCATATGGTCTATCTGACCTCCCCTCTCCCCACACGTTATATTATAACACCACCGTCCCTTGCTCTGTGGCTCATTCCTTTTCTTTTTCAAACAGAACCGCATTGGCCTCAAGTTCATCCTTATATAGCTGAGCATGACCTTGAACTTCTGGTCCTCCTGCCTCGGTAATCTAAGTGACGAGATTATCGGTGAGCACCGTGCCTGGTTTATATGCCTCTGGGGATCTGAACCTGGGGCTTCTCAAACACTAGGCAGATACTCTACCACTCGAGCCACATCCCCTCAGCTCCTCATACCTTCTTTAATAGACAGCCAGTGCATGGCTCAACCCTAATGACCCACTCCTCAGTTAGACTACTGTTGACTACTCATGGGAAGGCTCAGCTTCAACCAGAGTTTCATGTCCTTCCCTAGTCTGGTGTCCCCCCAAAATATTATATGTTATAGTTTACATGTGTTATAACATTCATGTATGCTCTGAGCTGGAGGCCAGCCTGGTCTACAGAGAGCTGTCTCGGAAAGTTTTTTTTTTTTTTTCATTTACATGCCTGTGTTGCTTACATGTCTCCTCACTGCCTCCATCAGCTCCATAAAAGCATGAATTTTGCTGGGTGTTGGTGGCGCACACCTTTAGTCCCAGCACTCAGGAGGCAGAGGTAGGCGGATCTCTCGTCTACAGAGCAAGTTCCAGGACAGGCTCCAAAGCTACAGAGAATCCCTGTGGGGGGGGGGGGAGGAGGGAAAAAAAAAAAAATCATGAATTTTTAAAAATCGTGGTAGAATACATATAGCATTTATCGTCGTAGCTATTTTAGGTGCACAGTTAGCTCAGTGACATTAAACACATTCATGCTGCTGTGTGACCAACTTGCAGAACTTTTTTCATCCTCTAAAACTGAAGCTCTGAATCCACAAACAAAGCAGCTTCCTCTGGCTCCTCCCAGCCCATGGGAAGACACAGTCTCTCTCCCTCGGTGATTCTCACCACTGTGGCACAAGTGAAGTCTGCAAGCGTTGGCCCTTCTGTCTCTTCACCTATTTCACTTAACACGTCCTCATTTCAGCCACGAAGCAGTGTATGTCAGGGTCCTCTCTTCCTCCTCCAGACCCGGTACCACCCCACGACACACACACACACACACACACACACACACACACACACACAGCATGCACAAGCATTTTGTTCATCCATTCATGTGCTAATGGCCATCTGGGCTGTTTCTGCCTCTTGGCCATTGTGAATAATGTCACTATATAATCATGGGTGTATAAATATCCTTTTGTGACCCTACTTTCACATCCTTAGGAGCTATACCCACAAGTGGAAATGCCAGATCATAAACTACTTCTCTTTCTGATTTTTTAAGGCCCTTGTGCTGGCTAGTTTTATGTCAACTTGACACAAGCTACAGTCATTTGGGAAGAAGAACTTTCAACCGAGAAAAAAAATGCCTCCGCCTCAGTAAGATCAGGCTGCAGGCAAGCCTGCAGGGCATTTTCTTAATTAGTGGTTGATGGGGGAGGGCCCAGGCCATTGTGAGTCGTGCTACACCCGGCTGATGGTCATGGGTGCTTTAAGAAAGCAAGCAAGGCAAGCCAGGAAGCAGTACTTGTCCATGGCCTCTGCTTCAGCTCCAGACTCCAGGTTCCTGTCTTGTATGAGTTCCTGCCCTGGCATCCTTCAGCACTGGAGTGTGACTTGAGAGTTTTAAGCTGGAATAAACCCTTTCCTCCCCAAGTTGTTTATGGTCAAGGTTCTTTAATCACAGCAACAGAAACCCTAACTAACTAAGACAGGCCCACTCTGCTGTTTTAGAACAGGGATTTCCATCTGTGTGTTTACTGATTGTCTTGGTTCCTTTTTCTGTTGCTGTGACAAATGTCATAGGGAAAAAGGCAATTTAGAGAAGAAAGGGATTTATTTGGCTTACAATTCCAGATTAGAGCCCGTTATTATATCACATCTATAGTTAAGAGCAGAGAGAGAATAAATATATATATGCTTGTTTGTCCTGCCCAATACTCAGCTAGCCTTCCCTACTCTTATGGAGTGTAGGGGCCTCTGCCTAGGGAATAGTGATGTTCCCTAGGCTGGGTCTTTCCATGTCAGTAATTGAGGCAATCCTTCAGACATGCGCACAGGTCAATCTAGGGAACGCCTCACTAAGCATCTCTTCCCAGATGACTGTGTTTGGTGTCCAGGAGACAGTTAAAGCTCACCAGCACACCGATGCATCCACACAACACCTGACGCATAACTTACACACTTCCATATAGTTGGTCAGCATTATTATTGCCACTTTATAGAGACTGAGTTTCTGAGAACCTCCTGAAATTGCCCCAAAAGCAGACTTGGCACGGGGCTAACAGAATGAGCTGGCTTTTGGAACTCTGGAGCAATCAGAGCTAACGCATATGTCTGGGCCTTTAAGGAGTGAGGTAAGTACAGTAATTTTCCTTGTGGTATATTTCTTTGTGAACATTTCATTCCTATTGTTCGCTTTCCCTGTCATTTCCTTCTGTCATAGCCTCCCCTCATTGTCCCAGCTTCGCTCTTCACAGAACATGTAAGATCCTGTTCTCCAGGGTGGAACTGGCCCTCTCTGGAGGTCCCCCAACCCCCTGGCTTTTGGGTATCATCTAAACACATCAACCTTGCATCATCCCTGTTCACACACCTCACCCCTTCACCCATCCAGGGGTAGTTACAAGCCCCATTCTCTTCTAAAGCAATTAGTGCAAGGAGGCCAGCCGCCTCGGTGCTAATGCTGTTTCATTAAGTGGGAGCAATCCTAATGATAATAAAATGGCACATTTAACATTCAAACATTGAACGGGGTTTCTAAGCGAGTGTGTCTCTGGCTTTCTCTCTGGTATAACAGTTTCGTCTTCATAAGGACCTGACAATACACCTTAATGAGGGAGCGGAGAGCAGAGCATCTTTACAGATCCAGAGAGAAGATGAGGATGAGACAAAGCAGCAGACAGAAGGGCACAATGCATCGATGGGATGGAGACTGTGGATTCCTGGGGAGTAACAGATTCTGTGGTACTAATTTAGATCATTAGAGCCGATAAGAAATAGAATTGCATAGAAAATAAAGATATCCTCAGACGTTGTGCAATGTAGTTTTTTATTTTGTTCAACAACTTTTTTTTTTCCTGGCAAATGTTTATTTATTAGAGGTGAGATTTTATGTGGGTTGGTGATGGCAATTGGCTCAAGTTCTCAACAAAGAAACCCCAAAGGCACTAGTAGTTTATAAAAGATGATCATTTTTGGCCGGGTGGTGGCGGCGCTCAGTTTTAATCCCAGCACTCAGGAGGCAGAAGCAAGTGGATCTCTGTGACTCCCCTGAATTAGTCAGATCATGCTCAAGTTCATCCAACATTCCAGCAAACAGAAATTTAAGGATCCCCTTAGTCTACTGAGCCCATCTTGAGCCACTCCCCATCCAGACATCCATCTTTGAGCTCCTTGCTGTTATGTGGTGTTGAGCCTCTGTCTGACTTTCTGAGGATGGGAAAGGGGCTGGACTCCGGAGGATGAATGGAAGAGAGGGTCAATCATTTGGTGTTTACAGGAGATTCCATCGAAGCAGAAGTGACAGGAGATATGGCAAGGCTACTTCCTTCTCTTTGTGGTCTTCACCATGAGGGCTTTCCTCCCCCAGGAAAGAGTCAGCTGCGGTCAAAGGTGGGCTTTGCTCGGTGTAGAGAAGCGGCTCATTCGAAATGGTGCTAAGTCATAAGACGGTGCTAATTTCATGCTTAGCTCACAGAGGATCTTCCCCACAACAGGGGCCAACTTGAATCCATGCCCTGGGAGAAGAATGTGTCATGAACCTTCAAGTACAGACTCTGGGCTCTAGAGAACTTCCCTCCACACCCAGACAGTGCTACCTCTCCTCTTGGTCTCATCCCAAAGCTAGAAATCACCTCCTGCCACAAGTACCCCCATCTGTTGGCCGCCCACCCTCCCCATACACTCAGTGTCTAGACTTCAGTTAATGCACACAAGATCTGCTTCCGTAGGTCTGCTGGCAGGCTCCCTACCTCCCCATCCTCCAACTCACCAGAGAATCCAGCACCGATGACAATGTTGTCATACTTCGGGTGGCAATCAAGAATGAAGTGCTTATCAGGCGTGTTCTAGAAGGAAAGTCGTACCAGTGTCCCCTGAGGACAGGAAGGGTAGGAACTACAGGCCCTGGCAGGAGGAAACTGGCCCGGGACTTTTTCAGAAGAGAACTGGATGGGGCTGAGGTCTGCCCCCTCTTTGCCCCATCCCCTCTAAACATACTGGCTCTTACTGGACAGCTGTCACTCTCCTACTGTGCCATGGACACAGTAGGTAGTCATCTTTGTGAACTAACTTTAGCCAAGATGCCTCGGGCCCGATGGCATCTGTCTCTTCTCTTTGTCCCCAAGGCCTGCTCAATTGGGAGCATCTTGCCAAGAACTGTTTTAGAGCTCTTCTGGGAAATATAGAGAATGACTGCCAGGCAAAAGCCTCGCTGCCTAATAAAAAGGAATATGAATAATCTCTAACAGGCCCCTCTCTTATTGAGGTGAACCAATCCACAGTAATTAGCTTGTTGGTTTAAAGTCACATGATGGGTCAGAGATCAAATGGAGTCAGGCCTGGCCAACTGTGGGTCTGTCTATTTCCTCCCCTATTCTGCAACTTGGAACAGCCAGCTTACCGTGTACATGCAGCGCTCCATGATGTCTGGCTCGGGCCGAAGGCCTGGTAAGTGATCTCTGACAAAGTGGCATAGAATCTGGACATCTTGGATATCTGAGAAGGTTGTAGGGCAGTCCCGCTCCTCTGGGTCCACACTGTCACCATGGTGATAGCAGATCTATGCCCACATTGGAATAGCATGGGCTGTAAAGCTGGCCTTCTGAGCGGACCAGCTAGTGAGGGGTGGGTTTGGAGGCAGGATGTCTCCACCCATCATCCCAGTCCCCAATCCAGGTAGGTGCTATGCATTAGCACCTGAAGTTGCCTAGAGCTCATCTTTAGCCATACCCTGTGTTTATAAGGACAAGGTACCTTAGGTCTCAGGGCAGGAGTGGAACATATGATATTATGCTGTAAATGGCCAATTGTGAAGCAGACACAAAGAAGGTTCCATAGAAGTATGTCAGAATATAAATTAGGTACAAATGCCCAGAGTTGCATGAGCACATAGTAGTACAGTATCCTTCTTAGCCTTTTTGCTTACCTTCATCAGCCCTGGGTACTCTGATGCTGGAAGTCCATAGATGTGGTGGGGAGCCAGGCCCAGACTCAGAATACACGGGAAAGCCTGTGATACACTATAGCTTCCAGGGACCTTCTCTCGCCAGTAACACACATTAATCCTGAGGGTCTTGATGCAGGAGGAAGTAGGAGATAAAGGGGGAAGTCATGGAGCTCTATAGACAACAACAGCAGATTCTGGTAGGGTCCTGTGATCCTTTCATATCCAACCTGCTTGGCCTAATTCTTGTGTCATGTACTTATAATATACACTATGTTGCACAAAGGTCTCCAAGTCTGTCTTGTCTCTATTCTTAGTTTTCTCCCACAGCAGCTCCGCAGCCCTCCTTCACTATCTTTTCAGGATATTTGTTCAGTGCTTACTATAAGTCTGGCCATCTCCTGGAGGCTCTACACACCAGATAAATTCGTTTACCAATAGCCTTTTGAGGTAGCTATTATTTCCCATCCTGGCACTTAATGAGGTGAACTATTTACCCAGTGTTGACCACTAGGAAGTGGCAGGTCCAAGGCTAAGTCAAGCTTGGTTGGCTCCAAAGTTTCTTCTCTTAGCTACTGATTCTCAGGCCTCCAGCTTGCCCTACCTGGAGAGGCAACTCAATTCCCAGGGGGCGGAGAATCCGGTTGGTCCAGGGGCCAGCAGTGATGACCAAGCTGTTGGCTTGATAGCTCTTCAAAGTGGTTTCCACTGTGACAGGTAGGCCAGGCCTTATCTCCACTACCTTCTCTCCATCACACACCGCGCCTCCTAGCTGGCAAATTAGGTGCTGAAAGGGCAGGCCCAAGAAAGATGAATTAATTAGCTGTGCATGTGATTCACTCTGGGAGACCAAGAGCCCCTCATTGAGGGCAGACAAGATTGAGGAATCTTAGGAGTGGGGGTGGTGGCGAACACCTTTAATCCCAGAGCTAAGGAGACAGAAGCAGGTGGATCACTATGAGTTCGAGGCCAGCCTGGTCTGGTCAACAGAGTGAGTTCCAGGATAGTCAGGGTGGTTACACAGAGAAACCAGAGAGAGAGAGAGAGAGAGAGGCCTTAAAAAATCAGTGCCGAAGTAAACAAGGCAAAAACCTTCACACCGACATGCGTCAGAGGCTGCCTAACTAGGGGCCATGATGCCCAGAGAAGGGAGCTGTATTGCCCTGGGCTGTACAGCCTTACCTGGAGGGCTCTGAGAGCCTTGTCTGCATAGAGGACACCTCCAGTCTTGTCCAAGAGCCCCACTTCTCCCCCGGTGAACTGAATGTTTGGGAAACGTTGCTTTAAATCCTCTGATGAAAGACACTCATGGTCAATCCCCTGCCTAGACAGAGTGGCCTGGATTGTCTTCAATTCTGGATTCTCCTTCAATCCCAGCAACAAGAGCTCAGTCTGCCTGTTCCAAAAGAAAAGGCCAGTGGGGTGAAGGCATCTGTCATGGCCCTGACCACTTATCTATTCTCATTCCTCAGTGAGGGACCCATGTCTACAGCATCACAGTTTGGCCTGACATTCAGAGCATAGGTGAAATCATCTAGACTCCATCTAGGAGACCTGGCATCTCCCCTGCCTGGTTTCCAGACCATTCCCAAGCCCTCCCTTGACACTCACAGTTGGTTTGCTTGTCCCTATACCCTGCTCTTGACAGCAGAGGTCCTAAGTCCCCACAACCTTTCCCACACCTTGGAAAAGTCAAACAGGATAGCAGGTGTCCACTCAAATGTGTTTTCTACCCTTCCCCTGTTCCCTCTTTGCAGAGCCCTCTGTCACTCCTTCCCTTTCCCGTCTCTTTTTTCCCCTTCCTCTTTTCTTTATTTTTCAAAGATTTATTTTATTATAAGTTTTTAAAATTTTGTATGTGTGTGTGTGTGCCCATGAGTGTAAGGGCCCACAGAGGCTGGAGGTGTCCGGCCCTCCAGGAGCTGTGGTTACAGGCAGCTGTGAATCACCCAGCATGGTTGCTGAAAACGAAACTCAGGTCCTCTAGAAGAGCAGTGTGCATCCTTAACGTCCCAACCATCTCTCTAGCTCCCCCCCCCCCCCCCGTCTATTGTCTCATCATATAGTGTCTTGTCCGTCTTGTGTATTTTTCTGTCTCATTGTTTCTTCTCTGTGACCTATTTCATAGAAAAGGAGACCTGGTTCCGCTTCTAAACTGGGTGCCACCTTAATGTCACCTTGACCAGAGACTCACTCACTACTCCAAGTCCCAAATTCCTCCTCTGAAACCCAGGACACTGAATGGAAGTGATACTGCCTGTTCTGTGGTTGTCACGCTATCCGGGGTTGCTGCTCAACATTCAGGGGGTGCCAGGCCTGAGGTGCTCCAGAAGATCACCCCAAGGCCAGTAGCACTTGCACACAAAAGCAGAGACACTGGCTGGTGCACAGAGCACCAACAATAAACTCAGAGGATCTGGTCTGAATCTATCTCACTAGGCTTTTCCCATCCTTCTCTGTGAGGGAGACAGGCAGCAGGCTTCCTTTGATGCTTCCTGACTCTCTGCCACAAGAGACCAGATGTCCCTTTGGTGCGGGGAGGCTGTCTAAACAATGGAAAGGTGCCTCTGGCCTCTGGGATTGCTCCTATGTTCCCTCTTGGCTTCAGCAGCCCCACAGCACGCAGCAGCCTGCTGCATCCCCCAGGTACTGCCTATAAAGCTCGTAATAGCCTATAATGGAGTCTCATGGATATTACATGCTTCCAAATCCACATTATCTGGTTGTGGGGATTAAAGAGAAGACTGGGAGGGGGTAGGGATGCAGTGGGCCTGGGGGCCGGTGTCAGTACACAGAGCTGCGCAGCATGCCCAATCCATTCGCCATGGCCCCCGCCTACCCAGCATTCATGGTGAGATAGTGATGCCAGCTCTGCCTCTTCAAAGCTCAGTGTAGGCTCCATGAGACAGATTCCCAGCCAGGAGCCAGTCTCTTTCTTGTAACCTCCCCAAAGAACTTCATTTTAGTCCTTAAGTCACGAAAATTTGCCTAGTCAACTTCTTGGTCAACAAGACAATTAAGAAGCCACTCCAAAGTTTGGGGATGATGTTGAGGGTGTGGCTTAGTGTCGAGCACTTGACTAGCATGCACAAGTCTGTGAGTCCCATTCCAGCACCACCAAAAATAAAAGTACCCAGTGTTTTATAGTTAGTTACAAAGCTGGAGATGGAACTCAGGGATTCCTGTACACTAGGCAAATACCTCACCAAGCCACACCCTCTGTCTCAGATGTGTGCTTTTGTTTTGGTTTGTTTGAGAAAGGGACTTACAATGTATCTATCCCAGACTGGCCTCAACCTGGAGATCTTTCTACCACCATCTCCCGAATGTTGGACTTCAGGTTTGTACCACTATGTCTAGTCCTGTGTTCTTGGACCTTTATAGCTGATGGACTCCATGCTAAGTAGAATTGTGGGAAAGATCTGGCTTGCAGCTTACCTAAGCAGATATAACATCTGCTCTCTAGTCAAGAAACACCAGAGTGACTCTTGGCCCCTGCCTGTAATATAGCAGCCTTGGTCCCTCATGTGCTCTTCCCTCCTTCCATCTTACCTTCCTTCTCTCCTTGAAACAGAACTCCATTTACAGAGACATAGTGTAAGGGAAAATGAACTTGTGCCAAGACAACAAACCTGTCCGATTATGAAATGCGGAGTGATGTTCTAATTCCCAAGCTGTCCTATGGTGGATGAAGCCAGAGCTCCCCAACCCTAGGAGTAATCAGAGAGCTGATTCTGCAGTGAATGTAATTGTGCCGATTGTAATCATTTTGCTCCAGCTCTCTGCCCCTGTGGCATTTATTTCTTAGCCCAGATATTGATCTAACAGTGGGAAATTTTCTATCTGAATCTGTGATGCTAGACCCTCCCCAAGTCCAAAGATGTGTTTGGGAAATTCTCATTTTCCGTGGATCACAGCTGAGCTATTTGGCCTGAGGGAAACCGTGCACTGTTGGAGAAATGCCTTGGATTGGAGAGAGATTTTTGACCATTATGAGCAAATCGGAAATAAATGTAAAACACTGCCTGGAAATGCAAAGGCCTGTCATTAGGGGAGATAGGTGAGAGGCTCCTGTGGGAAATGCTTGGAGAATTGGAAATCAGTCAATCAAATCCAGGATCGGAGACCAGGCCTTTCCCCAAGTATGAAGACAGATGACTTCCACGAGCAGAGTGAAAATCATTTAAGTGCTTATTTTCTTAATGGTTTTTCCTAGATCCCAATAAATAGACTACTCATTCTGCATCCATTTCTTATGCCTGTGCTTAGGGTACTTAGGGTCCCCCCTCCTTTTTTTGCTCAGACACAAGCTATAAAGTTTGAGAAGAAAAATGGGACAAAGGCCTTTTACATAAAGAGTGGGGGGACTAAGAAATTAATAGATAGGGCTAGTCTAGGAAGGAGGGCCTAAGTCCTAGGATTACCAGGGAACCCTAGCAAGTTTGCAGTTCCCACCTCCCAGAATGCCTGTCGCCTGCATCAGGAGCCCTTGGGATGAACTACACCTTCTTTATGGCCCGCTTTGCTCCAACACTGAGAAGAGGCCATTGAAAATTCCTCTGGAAGGCCTTGTTGACACCTCTGTGGCCCACTAATTACAGGGAGCTGGTGATCTCCAACAAGGGGTCAGGAGGGAAGAGAGAGCAGGGAGGCCCTGGGAGAGACAGACAACTCTCCCTGAATCTTCCTTCCGTTTCCCATCATGGGCTCTGGCTGCCTTTCTCTTTACTCCAGTTCAAAGTGCCAGGTGAACCAGCTCTCAGCATCACCTTGGGGAAGGGCCTTGGTAATGGCTGCTGTCTTTGTTGGTTTGGGAACAGCTCTCTGTATTTCATCTTCTGCTCAGTGGGCCGAAGTGGAATTGGTTAACAAAGATTGCTCCAGGGAGGGGATGTGGCTGACAAGCCAGACACTTTGCAGGCGCAGGAAGCAGCAGCTGCGGAGGGGGCCACCAGGTTCTGCCAGCAGCTGTACTGCCTACGGCTGTGATCTTGTCTGATATTGTCAGTGAAGCAGGGGCAGCCCGGGTCAGGAGCTGGATAGTAGGACTCAAAGGAAGAAGGCGGGGCAGGAAAGAGATGGACTTCAGAGCCTGGATTTTCTGTTGGTACCAGCATCCCGGCTGTACACATCACAAAAGATTCAGGCCTTATGATCCGACACATGTCATTGTCTGCTCCCAGAATATATGCAAATATCCCGAGCCCACCCGAGTTTCGTATGAGCTGTCACAGGAAGCAGAATAGAAGAATCGGGCAACCTCCTCCACTACCAGCTCGGAAAGGTTTTTGTGGTTTTTTAAAAATCATCATCAGATGACATTAAATACACTCATTTCTATCATTTATCGTATGGTATTATGCCAGTGTGTCTAGAAGGAGCCAGAGAGAAGCAGGAACGACAAAGATGATGAAATCATTTAGAAAATCAAAATTAAGAGCAAAGCTAAGGCAATTTGGATAGCATTCAGCCTAAAGGTGGAGAACTATATTCAGATACCATTCAGAGTGGGAAGGATCTGTACTGCATCCTACTCAGTAAAAGAATAAAAAAAAGAAACCTAGCACATGTGAGTACATTTGGGAAGCCATGAGAAAGGACTTGCTAATGGTGGAATAATAGCAACAACAATAATAATAGCGCTCTCTCCAGCTTTGCAGGTTTTATACGCACACTCACATTACTCTTCATTTTTCTTAATTGGAGCTCTGAGACATCTGAATATTCTTTTCATATTGGCTATGGTATCTCCTTTGAAATGCACAGATGTACTTTCTCAACCAGGACTTCTTTAGGCCTGAATTTGTTTGGAGATAGGCATGGGCAATATAATGAGTTTTGACAGAATCTAGCTTCATATTAAGATGATTTCTATATTTTTAAAATGGTCAACTTAAAAAAAAAAAAACCCTAAAGCAGAATTCCATTGCAAGACACATAAATCCTGAGCAGGGTAGTGCCCATGCCCGGAGGCACTCCAGATACTAACGTAGGGAGGGAAATCTCAAGTTTGATGTCGGTTGGGGCTACTTAGTGAGTCTGGGGCCAGCTACAAAATAAAACCTTGCCTCAAAAAGGAGTGTATATAGTGAGATGGCTCAGTGGCTAAGAACACTGGCTGCTCTTGCTGAAGACCCAGGTTCAGTTCCTAGCACCCATGTGATGACTAAATGTATTTAACTCCAGTTCTTGAGGATATGATGCCCTCTTCTGGTCTTCCTGGGCACCAGGTACATGAATAATACATACACACATATATAGACAAAACATTCATGCCCATAAAAAATTGAAAATAGGGTAGGAGAAATGGTTCAGCTGTTACGAGCACTTGTTGCTCTTGTAGAAGATCTGGGTTAAGTTCCTTGCACCCACATGGAATCAAATTCCTTTCTCTTGTGCCTCCAAGGGCAGCAGGCATGCATCAGTTGCACACACATATATGCAGGCAAAACACTCAAACACATAAAATAAAAAGAAATAAATCTTTTTTTTCCCTTTTGGTTTTTGGAGACAGTGTTTCTCTGTAGCTTTGGGGCCTGTCCTGGAACTTGCTCTGTAGACCAGGCTGACCTCAAATTCACAGAGATGTGACTATCTCTGCTTCCCAAGTGCTGGGCTTAAAGGTGTGTGCCACCACCGCCTGGCTAAGAAATAAATCTTTTTTAAAAAATTTAAAAATAAACCTTTATTTAAAAAAACACAAAGAAATAACATGAAATTCAAATTTCAGTGTCTTGAAATAATTTTTTTTTTTTTTTTTTTTTTTAGAAATAAAGTTTTATTGGAACACATCCAGGTTCATTTATTTGGATCTTTGGCTGCTTTCACACTACAATGGCAGATTGAATATTTGCAAAGAGACCATATGGCCAGGGAAGCCTAACATACTTACTGTGTGGCTTACAGAAGAAGTTTGCTGACCCCTGCTACAAACTGAGAGTGCAGTAATTCAGTGATTCACAGTAATATGTTCTGACTACACAGTTGATGGTGACACATGCCTGCAGTCCCCCATACCTCAATACCTGGGGCTTTGAGGCCAGCCTGGGTAAACACAAAGAGACCCTGTCTTTAAAACAACAGAAGAAAAGGAGGAGGAGAAAAAGGAGGGGAGGGAGAGCCAACCCTAACCCTCAGTAGCTGTCCTTTTCACTTTGTAAAGTTGTGGAGCCAACTAAGTGAGCTGTATGTGTGGAGGAAATGCCTGGAACCAGAAGCGTTTCTTATCTTTTTAGACTTTGATAAGTGAATGCTGGGACCCCCACCACCCCGCCCCAAACTCTGGTCCTTAAGTCTGTGTAGCAAACTCTTTTAACCACTGTTCCATTCCTCCTGCCTCTGTCCCCCAAGAGCTGGGATATAACCATGTCCAGTATCGTGGGGGTTCTGGGGACCAAATCCAGGGCCTCAAGCACTCTACCAACCGAGCTACATCCCAAGTCCCTGTTGCATCCCTTTTGTTTCCTCTTACTCTTCCTCCTCTATAGCCCAACAGACCCAGGAGAGGGAGGGAAAGACCACCAGGCACTGTGCCGAATATCTTCCTGGGTCTCATTCAACCTTCACAATTCCCTATGAGAGAGGTCCAGAGACCCCCCCAACCCCAAACACATATACACACCATCACATAGGAGTTGAGGTAGGAAGTCAAACTCGAACTGTGACTCCAGACAGCTCATGATTGCCTATCTGTCAAGACTTGTACCCTTCTAGGCCTCAGGTTCATCTCTTACCTTAAAATGCTCAGGAGTAGTCACAGTCAACTGCCAGAGAAGGGTCCCTCTGCCAGGCCTCTCCTCAGAAAGACATTCTCCTTTATTTGGGTGCTGGGTGTATTTGCTGTCTCTGACTAAATCCTTAATTAGCTGCCCTGGCTGTATTTGCATAATGGATTTCACTTTGTTCTTAAGTTAATGGTGTTTTCGTAACAGAACAGTAACCTCTTGGTTCACAGCCATTAAAATAACCACTACCCTGTGGGGCAGAGCCAGGGTTATGTAAAGGGAGTTCAGTTAAGAGTCCAGAGGAGTAAAAGGAGATGCAGGAGTGGTTTCTGCTTCCTTACTTAGGAATGTCTGAAGGGTCAGTGATGGAGGAGCCCCCAGGTTTAGAAAGAACCAGAGGGCTACTGGGTCACTTCCTGGCAAATCATCTGGCCTGTGGAACACCTCATTTTTTCCCCAGGAGATAGTATATCAATAAAATACATTTGTGGATTGTTATGGGGCTGATGACCTAGCATAAAAAGATAGGATACTAGTGGGCAGAAGAGATGGCAGTGGTTGAGAATACTCGTTGCTCCAGGTGGTACTGGCGCAGCCTGTAATCCCAGCACTTGGGAGGCAGAGATGGATGGATCTCTGAGTTTGAGGCCAGCCAGGACAGCCAGAGCTATACACAGAGAAACCCTGTCTCAAAAAAAAAAAAAAAAAAAAAGTACTTGTTGCTCTTGCAGAGAATCCAGTATCAATTCCTGGTACCCACGCTATAGCTCACAACATCTGTAACTCCAATTCCAAAGTCTGATACCCTCTTTTGAGTTCCCTGGGCACCAGGTGCCAGGCACATACATAGGCAAAACATTCATACACTAAAACACGCATAAGTAATTTTTTAAAGTTAAGGCATTAGCAAGAATAAATAGCTGCCTCTTCCCTTTTGACCCAAGCACTACAACATGGCTCCAGAAGGCTCCGTGCAGGCCTGCCCTGCTCTAGATATCTGCCCACAGTGGTTCTTCAAGTTTTCAGAACACAACATGTACTACCTTAGACACAGGGCCTAAAGCAGGCATAGAACTCAGAGCTGGTTAGGGCCAGTAGGGTTGGTGGAGATTCGATAGCAGTGAGCAGAAGGCTTCCTCACAACTGGCACCTCTCTCCCAGGGTTGCATTTCAAGTTCACACCTTACAGCGTAGAGGGGTGGATCCCCCTACATTGAAGGTCTTCCTCCCTTGCCCACCTGTGTAATCGGGTTCCAGACTCATGCTCCAGCTGGGCCCACGTCTGATAGCATTCATCCATCATCCGAGTGTAGAAGTCCTCCGGATAAGCCTTTCTGATTATGCGGCTCTGTCCATGTGAGCTTCCTCGGGAATGTGGAAGAAAGAACTAGAAGAAGGGGATGAGAGGCAGTGGCAGCCACTGCCCTTCTTCATTCAACCCTCACTTTGCCTTTAGGCGCCATCCCATCTTTCCAATGTTTCCTTTTTTCTGATCCTGGGGGTTGAACCTCTGGCCTCGCACAAACTAGGCAAGTACTGTGCAGCTGTGCTCTAGCCCTGGCCCTCTTTTTACTTTTTATTTTGAGAGATGGTCTTGTTATATAGTATAGGCAGGCCTTAAACTTGCAATCCTCCTGTATCAGCTTCCTGAGTACCTGGGATATTAGGCCCTCATCACCAGACCCAGCTATTTTCAAATATTTTCAGACAATCCTTGCAGCCCACTGGCTGGCCAGGAAATTGGGTCAGCAGCTTTTCAGGAGCACTGAGTGAGTTTTCCCTTTTGCAAATAGCCCTCGTAGCCACCAGTCCCTTTTTTAGTAGCCTTCCATCTACCACTGTACTAGCATTCTTGTTAGACTCCTAAGAAAAGCAGAGTTAGAAGGAACCTTTCAGACTATGCCAATCTAACCCCTTTCTTTTATGGTTCAGAAAAAGGATGCCATCTCATTGAGTCTTCAGGTTACTCAGAATACAGGAACTGGCAGCCAGATGAGGGTGGGGGGTGGGGGTTGATGAGAGTTTCCTGAGGGATGTAACAGGAAACCCTTGGGCTTTGGGCAAATGGATAGAGAAATTGGAGACAATTTCTAACTATCCCAGGAAGAGTAAGTGGTAACCAGATTGGAGAGCTGCAGGCAGAATGGAAAGGGAGAAGTCACTGAAGTAGAAAGCTCCATGTGATGGCGGTGTAGGCCCCGCCCCAGAGGGGGTGCTGCCGGTTCCCAGTGCCACCCTCATTCGCAGTAGTTATTTGATCATCTTTCCTTTAAGGAAAAGAAGACCCGAGTCTTACTTAGTTCCTGTACATCAATCTATTACCCAAAGGCTGCAGAATCGACAGAGGCTCTGCTAGGTTCTGGAAGGAGAAGCAAGGGAAATGCAGGAAAGAACCTTTCCCCAAAGTGAGGGCATCAGCCTTTGCTTCTAGGCAAAATCGTCTTTTATTTAAGGTTACCCAGAGCAGAACTGATTCTTCTTCTGAACTGGATCAATGGTTTGGGTAGCAAAAATGAAGAGAGGTGAGGCACTTCTTGATCCAGGGCAAGAACTGAGAGGCAGTAATAAGAATATACCAAGAAACTTCACGTGGCCTTGAGGGTTCGACTTTTCTTTGAATTGTCAAGATTCACATGAAGTAGCTAAGCTATGAAGTGCACAGAATTCATGAAGTCCAGGCTTTTGGCTTCACCTATAGCTCTCAAGTTCTGGAAAGCCCTCCCTAGGTGAAGAAAGAGGAAGGGACAGTCTTGCACAGCAGAAGGGACAATGTACCTGCTCCAGCAGGAGGACCCTCTTTGAGTGCTTGGCCAGGTGGTATGCGGTGAAGCAGCCCTGGATGCCTGCTCCAATCACAATAGCATCCCAGAAACCTTTCTGAGCAGCCATGATGTCCGCTTAGCCCTCCAGCCACAGAGCGCATGGAGGAGAAAGCAAGCAAAGGCACCTCCCAAGCTAGAGGAGGAGGAGAAAGGCAAAGTCCAGCTTGGCCAGAGTTCCCACAATCCCCTGGTGCCCGTGTCCTTGTCTTTCTTTCCCTCCCAAAAGCCTGGCACAGGGCTCAGCCTCCGCCTCCCCTGCAGAGCAGAGCTGGGTAGACTGATTTGAGGTTTAGCCCAGCTCAGCTGCCAGCCTCACCCTTGCATCCCTCTAGCTTGCTATTCTTGGCTCAATTATTGTCATGCAAATGGGCTCCTTCCTATGCCACCTTCCTGTTTCATTATGATCTTTGTCTCAGGACTTCGGCCCTGGAATTTCAATGCCTCCTAGACCAAGCTGGGCACCGTGACTGCTGCCTCCCCCTGCTGGCTTTCCTATCTGCAGCTTGATTTCCTCTAGAGATCTACAGGGCCAGCTAAGAATTTGGCAGGATGCCCAGGGTCTGGCCCTCCTCCCTGGTGGGTGGTGAGGTCAGGGGGTAGACGCAGGGGCCAATTGGGAGGGCAGTATTGTGATTATGAAATCATTCTCAGTGTGCTTTAGTTTCATGTTGAAAAGGGAGAATAAATGACCCGGGTACAGTGAGGAGGAACCTTGTCCTCAGGCACACAGGGAACCAGGAACCAGCCTAGCACATGTAGGGGCCATGTGTAGAGAAGCCTTCTGTGCCAGGCAGTGGGCTCAATGAGTATTGTTACAGACACTGGGGACACAGCCAGGGTAGGCAGGTCCTGATTCTTACACAATGTGGAGGTCCATTTTAAGATAAAAGGAAAAGGGGACTGGAGGCATAGCTCAGCAGTAGAGTATTGTGATTGGCATGCCTGGGGTCCCGGGTTCAATCCCCAGCACTAAAAATAAAAGAGGGGAAAAAAGAAAGGAAAAGAATTAGTCATGCAAAATTAGATGGCAGGACTCAGGAGAGCCGCTCAATGAGGGAGCCCCATGGTTGAAGTTTTATTAGCTTCCTGGTAAATTTGCCTCTGAATACATTATCTCATTAAATTCTCATTTTTTTGTGTATTTTTGTCCTCATTTTTGGCAGATTGAAGATAGCCTCAAGTTCTTTGTCAGTCTTCCCACTGCATGCTTGCCTGATAGAACCTTGTGACTGCCACACTCTTTCTGGCCTGAGCCTTCAAGCAACTTCCTCTTCTTGCCTTGGAGAACTCATTCTTAGACCCTGAACTACCATGTTAGAAGTTCAGCCATGCTGTGAGGGACAGCAGATGAAGATGACACAGAGAGCCACACTAAGAGAGAAGCCATCTTGGGCCTCATGCCCAGACCAACCAAATACCATTGAATGACCACGTCAGAGCCGCATGACCCACCACCATTCAGTCTAGATACATCAGTGTTCCTCGATCTTATGAGGTAAAATAAAATGCTTGTTTTTAGACACTGACTTTTGAGAATGACTGTTTATATAGTCATAACTCGAACACCACGACAGAGCCAAAGATGGCGGCGTCTGCACAAAGCCCCACACCCAGTATATCTGGATGCTGAGACATGAACCCAGGTCTGTCTGCTCCAAAATTCACTTGTTCATGTTGCTTTTATTTCTTTTTTAGATACCGAGTCTCCTGCACTGCTTAACTGGCCTTCAACCTGCTTTGCAGCAGCAGATGACTTCGGTCCTTCTGCCTTTGCCTCCTGGGAGTGTAGATCTCTCATCCTATTTGGTTCAAAATGGTGCTGGGGACCCTGCAGTGGTGGTGCATGCCTTTAATCCCAGCACTCAGGAGGCAGGAGCAGGCGGCTCTCTGAGTTCAAGGACAGCCTGGTCTATAGATGGGGTTTCTAGGCAGCCAGGGCTACAAAGAGAAACCCTGTCTCAAAAAAATAAAAAAAACTGTGCTAGGGATCAAAGCCAGGGTGTCATGGACCCTAGGCATGTAGGTCCCCTTACCCGTTGAGCCACATGCCTGGCCTCAGCACACTTCCCTGTCACTATGATACTGTAGTGACAATTCATCACAGGTTACGGTCAAGTTTCTCATTTCAATAGTTTGCTTTTTTCCTGGTGGCCATACAATAAGAAGAGGAAACCGTGGAGGGTGTGGGGTGCACACATGAGTTGTTTCACCTCAGCACAATCGCTGACTGGGGCCCCCAGCAACACTTCTACTCCACAGAAAGCCCTCAGAGTAGCCTTAGCAACCGGCTGTCTTCTGGCCAGTCCCTCCTTTCCTAAAAGCATAGGAGCCCAAGGAGGGATGCCATCTGACTACACTTTTTTTCCCCCAAATAGAAGAAAAGGAAAAGAAAAATCCTTCTAGAGTCTAAAGGTCACAACATTCTGTCTCCCCACTCACAGAGAGCAGGATAGCATCTGCCTCACCACTGGACAGATTCCTTACACTAAAATAATAGTAGATATAACCAAGAAAAATATGGTACCCTGAGTGTGTAAGGGCTTGATAGAAATATATAAGTCAGCCCCTGGATTTCTTATAAGATGTCAACGGAGATGAACAGCTTGCACACAAGGAAAAGCAGGCAATAAATCCTTGCATGGAAGTGTGCCCAGTTCCACCAGTAGTCAAAGAGAAGGGAATTAAATAACTCTAAGGTACTATTATGTGTCTATTAAATAAACAAAAATAAAAATGATACAACCTTATTACATTGTCTGTGTTGCAGGTGGCAATTCAGATTGGATCCTGTGGAATGCTCTGGAACCATACACACAATAAGATAAAATAGTTGAAACATTCTGACCTAGAAATTCTACTTGACGAACTACTCCCCTAGGAGAGAAAATAAAAGGTGTTTGTATAAAGACACGCATATCTGTGATCTTATAATAATAATAGTAATAATAATAATAATAATAATAATATAATGATAATAATAAAAGAAACAATCCAACAATAGGGAATAGCTAAGCAAATGCTGGCAAGTTGACACACTGCAATACCATGTGGCTATTCCAAATGGCAGGCATGAGGACCCTGCTTTATAGAAATGCAGATATGAAACTGATACAGAGACACATGACACACACTGATCACAGCCATGACTTCTGTGTATATTCATCAAACATCTAAGAAGAAATTGGTGAGGTAATTGAGCTTAATGCTCATTAGTTCCCGTATTCTATAAAAATGGTGCCTCCATTCACAATTTGTAAAAGGAAGAGAAATCCCTGGGGGAAGCAGATGCTTCACATCTCCCTGGTCACTGGTTCCAGGGCTTGGGAAGTAATTTTTTTTTTGTTCAAATTTCAGTTCTTCCTGCTACCTACATTGTTCAGTTCTCCAGGGAAGCTGCAGGGAAGCTGCCAAGCCACTCTGTATTCCCCCCACTCCCCGTTTAATATAATATCCCTTCAGAGATAAAATGACAATCCCATTTCCCCATCCCTACTTCACAAGCCTGCCCTGGATTCCTGGACTCAAGCATTCTGTTTCTTGTTAAGAATTTCAAACGGCAGCTCCTCAGAAAGCGGCTACTGGCCACGGCCCAACCTTGAAATGAAAAGCAAATCTGCTTCTAAAGGCTTCCCCTCCTCTCAGGATTGCCCGTCCTTGCAAATGTCCTGACAGGAGCAGGCAGAAAGAGAAAGCGATCCCCTCAAATTCCATTTTAACAGCTATTCTGGATCGGAGGACTATTAAAGGGCGAGCCAACAGCCCTATACCTTGCTGCTTGTGTGTGTCAGCAATCGGCGGAGCGGCTCGGCTCGTGTCCTGGGGCAGAGACGCTGAGGGTGTGAGGCCGAACTGCTCATCCGATAGCTTGATTGACACTTTGCAGACAGGGGTGGAAGAAGCGAGCCGGGGAAGCAGCAAGCTGTATAGCTCAGAAATAATGAGAGGACCCGAATGGAGAGAGAGAGAGCGTGGAATAAATAAGGGAGAACTGGGAGCTGAATGGGAGAGCCTTCTGTTTTTTCTTCCCTACTCCACTTTGCCAAGGAGCTGAAGCCTGGGGCAGGAAGGCAGGCAGGCAGGGATGAGCCCTACCCTGAAGGCAGATCCTGCCCGCTCACTGCCTGTTTACCTGGGGTCCAGAATGCTTAGAGGATGCTGAGTGTGGGAACGCAAAGAACAGGCTTTGTGAGCACTTTGCAAACACATCGCTGACCCTGCTGATCTCCCTGTCCTCAGTTCTGCTCCTTTAGGGCTGGTCATCCACCCATCTCTTTAAATGGCAAATCTGGACAGGTTACTTCCCGTTAATTTTTTTTTTTTTTTTTCATAGCTGCCCTTTCCTATTAGGGTAAAAGTCTGAACTCCTTAGCTTGGCACATGAGGTAGCTTCCTCTCTGACCTCGGCTGGCTCCCGCAGCTCCACCACTGACCCTTTCTGGCTGTACTCTTAGCACCCTAGCAACGCTGAATGGAGAGAGGTTCCAGCTCTCACCTGATTATTTCAAACTCCCAGGCACCCCAGGCACCCCCAGGCACCCCCAAGCAGATGCAGTCTTTTCCTATATTGTCTCCCTATCCTGCAGAGAATCCACGATAACAATACACATATTGTGCTGTAATTGTTTGCATGTCTGCCTTCCCCCTACACCTCTTAAAAGGAGGGAGATTTCTATTGTCATTTTTCATAGGTAATACATACACATGGAACAACAGTAAAATGTACAAAAGAGAACACTGTGCAAAGAATCTCCACCCATTCCCACAGCTCAGTTCTCCTATCAGATGCAACACTGTTGCTATTGTCTTTTGTGTCTTTTCAGAGATGTTCTGTGAGTATACAAACATGCTTATACAGTATGTACTCCAAACGCACGAGCGAGAGAGAGAGAGAGAGAGAGAGAGAGAGAGAGAGTGTGTGTGTGTGTGTGTGTGTGTGTGTGTGTAACACCCTGGTAGTTTCATTTCCTTTCTCGCAGAGATCCACATCAGTCATAAGGAGTTGGCACATTTTTGTGATGGCTGTGTCGAGTAAATGCTATGAAGGCATTTAGCACAGCGACAGCATCCATGCGTGCTTGTGATGGG